GAAAATCACTAATTATGCTTTACTTTATTTGGGGTTTTTTGTGTTTTATGAGTCTTTTCCACCACAGAAAAACAAGGGTAGATTGTGCTGGGATATCCTAGAGCTCCCAGACAATCTCTTCCCATGCTCATTAAAAATGGAGAAAACCAAACTGGCCCACAGGACGTGTGAGCAGGTAAAAATCACTAATTATGCTCCATTTTATTTGGTTTTTTTGTGTTTTCTGAGCCTTTTCCACTATGGAAAAACACGGATAGATTGTGGTGGGATATCCTAGAGCTCCCAGACAATCTCTTGCCATGCTCATTAAAAATGGAGAAAACCAAAGTGGCCCAAATGATGAGCAAGTGAAAATACCTAATAATGCTCTGATTTGGGGTTTTTTGTGTTTTATGTTTTGTGTTTTATGAGCCTTTTCCACTATGGAAAAATAAAGACAGTTTTTGGTGGGATATCCTACAGCTCCCAGACAATCTCTTGCCATGCTCATTAACAATGGAGAAAACCAAAGTGGCCCAAATGATGAGCAGGTGAAAATAACTAATTATGCTCCATTTTATTTGGGGTTTTTGTGTTTTCTGAACCTTTTCCACTATGGAAAAACAAGGATAGATTGTGGTGGGATATCCTAGAGCTCCTAAACAATCTCTTCCCATGCTTGGTAACAACAGAGAAAATCAGACTGGCCTAAAGGACGTGTGAGCAGGTAAAAATTACTAATTATGTTCTATTTTATTTGGTTTTTTTGTGTTTTCTGAGCCTTTTCCATTATGGAAAAACACGGATAGATTGTGGTGGGATATCCTAGAGCTCCCAGACAATCTCTTCCCATGCTCATTACAATGGAGAAAACCAAACTGGCCCAAATGATGAGTAAGTGAAAATAACTAATTATGCTCCATTTTATTTGGGGTTTTTGTGTTTTATGAACCTTTTCCACTATGGAAAAATAAGGGTAGATTGTGCTGGGATATCCTAGAGCTCCCAGACAATCTCTTCCCATGCTTGGTAACAACAGAGAAAATCAGACTGGCCCACAGGACGTGTGAGCAGGTGAAAATCACTAATTATGCTTTACTTAATTTGGGGTTTTTTTGTGTTTTATGAACCTTTTCCATTATGGAAAAACAAGGATAGATTGTGGTGGGATATCCTAGAGCTCCCAGACAATCTCTTCCCATGCTCATTACAATGGAGAAAACCAAACTGGCCCAAATGATGAGCAAGTGAAAATCACTAATTATGCTCCATTTTATTTGGGGTTTTTGTGTTTTCTGAGCCTTTTCCATTATGGAAAAACACGGATAGATTGTGCTGGGATATCCTAGAGCTCCCAGACAATCTCTTCCCATGCTCCTTAAAATGCATGAAACAACAATGCAGAAAACCAAAGTGGCCCAAAGGATGTGGGAGCAGGTAAAAATTACTAATTATGCTCCATTTTTTTTGGGTTTTTTTGTGTTTTCTGAGCCTTTTCCACTATGGAAAAACACGGATAGATTGTGGTGGGATGTCCTAGAGTTCCCAAACAATCTCTTGCCATGCTCATTAACAATGGAGAAAACCAAAGTGGCCCAAAAGATGAGCAGGTGAAAATCACTAATTATGCTTTACTTTATTTGGTTTTTTTGTGTTTTATGTTTTGTGTTTTATGAGCCTTTTCCACCACAGAAAAATAAAGACAGTTTGTGGTGGGATATCCTAGAGCTCCCAGAAAATCTCTTCCCATGCTTGGTAACAATGGAGAAAATCAGACTGGCCTAAAGGATGTGTGAGCAGGTGAAAATCACTAATTATGCTTTACTTTATTTGGGTTTTTTTGTGTTTTATGAGCCTTTTCCACCACAGAAAAATAAGGATAGATTGTGCTGGGATATCTTAGAGCTCCTAAACAATCTCTTCCCATGCTCCTTAACATGCATGAAACAACAATGCAGAAAACCAAAGTGGCCCAAAGGATGTGGGAGCAAGTGAAAATTACTAATTATGCTCCATTTTATTTGGTTTTTTGTATTTTCTGAGCCTTTTCCACTATGGAAAAACCCGGATAAATTGTGCTGGGGTACCCTGGAGCTGCTGACACAGCTCTGTGTGTGTGTTGGGTGGCACCAGNCCTCTGCCCTGGCCTGGGCTCTGTTCGTCATCTGTTAGAGACAGGGCGGTTATCGTCACTGTTAACGTTAACCCTATTCCACACTGTTAAACAGGGACACAGACACGGCTCAGCCACCTCTGTCTTAGCTAGGGGTCTGTTTGCCCTCTAGAGACAGGGCATTTATCTTAATTGTTAAAATTAATACTATTCAACACTGTTAAAACATGGAGACGAAGCACAGCTCAGGTGCTTCTGTCTTAGGTTGTGTTCTGTTTGTCATCTGTTAGAGACAGAGCAGTTAGCTGCTGTTCATTGTTAAAATTAATACTGTTAAATACTGGGGCAGTTATCTGCTGTCAATAATAATTAACACTGTTTAACACTGTTAAAATCATGTGGGGCAGTTATCTTATACAAGTTGTTAAAATTAACCCTGTTTAACACTGTTAGAACCAGGTGGGGCAGTGATCTGCTGTTAATTACAATTAACACTGTTATAAACAGGTTGGGGCAGTGATCTGCTGTTCATTGTTAAAATTAACTCTATTCAACACTGTTAAAACCAGGTGGGGTAGTTATCTGCTGTTAATTATAATTAACACTGTTTAACACTGTTAAACCAGGTGGGGCAGTTATCTGCTGTAAATTAAAATTAACACTGTTTAACACTGTTACAATCAGGTGGGGCCGTTAGCTGCTATTAATTAAAATTAACACTGTTATAAACAGGTTGGGGCAGTGATCTGCTGTTCATTGTTAAAATTAATACTGTTAAAACCATGTGGGGCAGTTATCTTCTGTTAATTGTTAATATTAACACTGTTTAACCCTGTTAAAATCATGTGGGGCAGTTATCTGCTGTTAATAATAATTAACACTGTTTAACACTGTTACAATCAGGTGGGCCAGTTAGCTACTATTAATTAAAATTAACACTGTTTAACCCTGTTAAAACCAGGTGGGGCAGTTAGCTGCTGTTAATTGTTAATGTTAACGCTGTTAAAACCAGGTGGAGCAGTGATCTGCTGTTAATTGTTAAAATTAACCCAATTCGACACTATTAAAACCATGTGGGGCAGTTATCTGCTGTTAATTGTCAATATTAACACTGTTTAACATTGTTAAAACCATGTGGGGCAGTTATCTGCTGTTCATTGTTAAAATTAACACTGTTGAAATCATGTGGGGCAGTTATCTGCTGTTAATTATAATTAACACTGTTTAACACTGTTAAAACCAGGTTGGGGCAGTTATCTTCTACAAATTGTTAAAATTAACCCTGTTTAACACTGTTATAATCAGGTGGGGCAGTTACCTGCTATTAATTAAAATTAACACTGCTAAAACCAGGTGGGGCAGTTATCTGCTGTTAATTATAATTAACACTGTTATAACCAGGTTGGAGCAGTTATCTGCTGTTAATTAAACTTAACCCTGTTTAACACTGTTAAAACCAGGTGGGGCAGTTATCTGCTGTAAATTAAACTTAACCCTATTTAACATTGTTAAAACCATGTGGGGCAGTTATCTGCTGTTAATTAAAATTAACACTGTTTAACCCTGTAAAAACCATGTGGGGCGGTTATCTGCTGTAAATTAAAATTAACCCTGTTTAACACTGTTAAACCATGTGGGGCAGTTATCTGCTGTAAATTAAAATTAACCCTGTTTAACACTGCTAAAACCATGTGGGGCAGTTATCTGCTGTAAATAATTACAATAATTCAGAGGGAGAGGATTTCTTCTCGGGGGTGATTTTTGGGCNCTGTTAAACAGGGACACAGACACGGCTCAGGTTGGGCTCTGCTTGGCATCTGTTAGAGACAGGGCGGTTATCTTCTCTTAATTGTTAAAATTAACACTATTCAACACTGTTAAAACATGGAGATCAGGCACAGCTCAGCCGCCTCTGCCCTGGCCTGGGCTCTGTTCGTCATCTGTCAGAGACAGCGCGGTTATCGTCACTGTTAACGTTAACCCTATTGGACACTGTTAAACAGGGACACAAACACGGCTCAGTCTGGGCTCTGTTTGCCCTCTGTAGAGACAGGGCATTTATCTTAATTGTTAAAATTAACACCATTCAACACTGTTAAAACATGGAGACCAGGCACAGCTCAGGTGCTTCTGCCTTAGGTTGTGTTCTGTTTGTCATCTGCTAGAGACAGGGCGGTTATCCTCTCTTAATTGTTAACATTAACATTATTCAACACTGTTAAAACAGGGACACAAACACGGCTCAGCCGCCTCTGTCTTAGCTAGGGGTCTGTTTGCCCTCTGTAGAGACAGGGCAGTTATCTTAATTGTTAAAATTAACGCTATTCGACACTGTTAAAACATGGACACCAGGCACAGCTCAGCTGCTTCTGTCCTAGGCTGGGCTCTGTTTGCCCTCTTTAGAGACAGGGTGGTTATCCTCTCTTAATTGTTAACATTAACCTGATTCAACACTGTTAAACATGGAGACCAGGCACAGCTCAGGTGCTTCTGCCTTAGGTTGTGTTCTGTTTGTCATCTGTTAGAGACAGAGCAGTTAGCTGCTGTTCATTTTTAAAATTAATACTGTTAAATACTATTAAAATCATGTGGGGCAGTTATCTGCTGTTAATTATAATTAACACTGTTAAAACCATGTGGGGCAGTTATCTGCTGTTAATAATAATTAACACTGTTAAAATCATGTGGGGCAGTTATCTTCTACAAGTTGTTAAACTTAACCCTGTTTAACACTGTTAGAACCAGGTGGGGCAGTGATCTGCTGTTAATTACAATTAAGACTGTTATAACCAGGTTGGGGCAGTTATCTGCTGTTCATTGTTAAAATTAATACTGTTGAAACCATGTGGGGCAGTTATCTTCTGTTAATTGTCAATATTAACACTGTTTAACACTGTTATAACCATGTGGGGCAGTTAGCTGCTGTTAATTGTTAAATTAACACTGTTAAAACCATGTGGGGCAGTTATCTCCTGTTAATTACAATTAACACTGTTCAACACTGTTAAAACCAGGTGGGGCAGTTAGCTGCTATTAATTAAAATTAACACTGTTTAACCCTTTAAAAACCAGGTGGGGTAGTTATCTGCTGTTAATTATAATTAACACTGTTATAACCAGGTTGGGGCAGTTATCTGCTGTTAATTGTTAAATTAACACTGTTAAAACCATGTGGGGCAGTTAGCTGCTGTTAATTAAAATTAACACTGCTAAAACCATGTGGGGCAGTTATCTGCTGTAAATAATTACAATAATTCAGAGGGAGAGGATTTCTTCTCGGGGGTGATTTTTGGGCAGCTCCTCCAAGAGAAGACAAACTGAAATTCAACAGCCTCTCCCAAGAGCAGCCTGAGCATCAAAACATGGAAATTTCAAACTCTAGCTTTGCCATCTATCCAAATTCTCTGTACAATTTTCTTTCCAGATCCACCACATCATCTTTTGTGCATGGGGAGACACCAGCTATTTCCCAGGACTCAGATTTTTAGGATTTTTAGGTGAAATCTCCCACAAACCCAGGATCTCGTGCCCCAAGGTGAGGCCACGCCAGCAGCAGAGTTTGCTCCTTACCTGCTCCACCACTTCCCTCAAAGGCCTGCCCTCCTCTGTGCTTTCTCTTTTGCCCCAAATGTATTTTTTTTGCGTTTTTATCTGTTGGGAAGAACACAACGATGGGAAAGGCTGGATTGCAGAATGAGGAGCAGCACCAGGGGGATTAAAGTGCTTTTCCTGCAGCACCCAGGGCAGGGTTGGGGTTTGCAGCCACAAACCTCGTCCAGAAAACGCTCGTTGGAGGTTTTGAAGTTCTTGAGCCACAGCGAGGCCTGCAGGGGCTGATCCAGCCGGCCCTTCTTGTAGGAGGACGGGAAAAGCTCCTTGCAGTTCTTCACCCACAGATGAGCTGTCAGCAAAAACAAAAAAACAAACTGTTGGTTTGGATTTTATTTTGGTGGGTTTTTTTTAGGCAAAATAATGGTATGAGGTGGGGTGTTGGTGCAATGCTCTATTTTATTTGGGGGTTTTTGTGTTTTATGAACCATTTCCACCATAGAAAAACAAGGGTAGATTGTGCTGGGATATCCTACAACTCCCAGACAATCTCTTCCAATGCTCACTAAAAATGGAGAAAACCAAACTTGCCCAAAGGATGTGTGAGTAGGTGAAAATCACTAATTATGCTCTACTTTATTTGGGTTTTTTTGTGTTTTATGTTTTGTGTTCTATGAGCCTTTTCCACTACAGAAAAACAAGGGTAGATTGTGGTGGGATATCCTACAGCTCCTAAACAATCTCTTCCCATGCTCATTACAATGGAGAAAACCAAAGTGGCCCAAAAGATGTGTGAGCAGGTAAAAATTACTAATTATGCTCTACTTTATTTGGTTTTTTTTGTGTTTTCTGAGCCTTTTCCACTACAGAAAAACAAGGATAGATTGTGCTGGGATATCCTAGAGCTCCCAGACAATCTCTTCCCATGCTCACTAAAAATGCAGAAAACCAAACTGGCCTAAAGGACGTGTGAGCAGGAGAAAATTACTAATTATGCTCTGATTTATTTGAGGTTTTTGTGTTTTATGTTTTGTGTTTTATGAGGCTTTTCCACTATTTAAAAACAAGGGTAGATTGTGGTGGGATATCCTACAGCTCCTAAACAATCTCTTCCCATGCTCATTACAATGGAGAAAACCAAACTGGCCTAAAGGATGTGTGAGCAGGTGAAAATTACTAATTATGCTCTACTTTATTTGGGTTTTTTTGTGTTTTATGAACCTTTTCCACCACAGAAAAATAAAGACAGTTTGTGGTGGGATATCCTAGAGCTCCCAGACAATCTCTTCCCATGCTCATTACAATGGAGAAAACCAAACTGGCCCAAAAGATGAGCAGGTGAAAATCACTAATTATGCTCCATTTTATTTGGGTTTTTTTGTGTTTTATGAGCCTTTTCCACTACAGAAAAACAAGGGTAGATTGTGGTGGGATATCCTAGAGCTCCTAAACAATCTCTTCCCATGCTCATTAACAATGGAGAAAACCAAAGTGGCCCAAATGATGAGCAAGTGAAAATCACTAATTATGCTCCATTTTATTTGGATTTTTTTGTGTTCTATGAGCCTTTTCCACCACAGAAAAATAAAGACAGTTTGTGGTGGGATATCCCAGAGCTCCTAAACAATCTCTTCCCATGCTCATTACAACGGAGAAAACCAAACTTGCCCAAAGGATGTGTGAGCAGGTGAAAATTACTAATTATGCTGTACTTTATTTGTTTTTTTTTGTATTTTATGAGCCTTTTCCACTATGGAAAAACAAGGGTAGATTGTGCTGGGATATCCTAGAGTTCCCAAACAATCTCTTCCCATGCTCATTAACAATGGAGAAAACCAAACTGGCCCAAATGATGAGCAAGTGAAAATAACTAATTATGCTCTGATTTGGGGTTTTTTTGTGTTTTATGTTTTGTGTTTTATGTTTTATGAGCCTTTTCCACTACAGAAAAAACAAGGGTAGATTGTGCTGGGATATCCTACAGCTCCCAGACAATCTCTTCCCATGCTTGGTAACAATGGAGAAAATCAGACTGGCCCACAGGACGTGTGAGCAGGTAAAAATTACTAATTATGCTTTACTTTATTTGGGTTTTTTTGTGTTTTATGAACCTTTTCCACTATTTAAAAACAAGGGTAGATTGTGCTGGGATATCCTAGAGCTCCCAAACAATCTCTTCCCATGCTCATTACAATGGAGAAAACCAAACTTGCCCAAAGGATGTGTGAGCAGGTAAAAATTACTAATTATGCTTTACTTTATTTGGTTTTTTTGTGTTTTATGAGCCTTTTCCACTACAGAAAAACAAGGGTAGATTGTGGTGGGGTGTCCTACAGCTCCTAAACAATCTCTTCCCATGCTCATTAACAATGTAGAAAACCAAAGTGGCCCAAATGATGAGCAAGTGAAAATCACTAATTATGCTCCATTTTATTTGGTTTTTTTGTGTTTTATGAGCCTTTTCCACCACAGAAAAATAAAGACAGTTTGTGCTGGGATATCCTACAGCTCCCAGACAATCTCTTCCCATGCTCATTACAATGGAGAAAACCAAAGTGGCCCAAATGATGAGCCAGTGAAAATAACTAATTATGCTCCATTTTATTTGGTTTTTTTTGTGTTTTATGAGCCTTTTCCACCACAGAAAAAACAAGGATAGATTGTGGTGAGATGTCCTAGAGTTCCCAAACAATCTCTTCCCATGCTCACTAAAAATGGAGAAAACCAAAGTGGCCTAAAGGATGTGTGAGCAGGTGAAAATAATTTATACTCTTTTTTACTATCTTTTTTATTTATTTGGGGTTTTTTTTTGTATTTTATGAGCCTTTTCCACTACAGAAAAACAAGGGTAGATTGTGCTGGGATATCCTACATCTCTCAAACAATCTCTTCCCATGCTCATTACAATGGAGAAAATCAGACTGGCCCACAGGATGTGTGAGCAGGTAAAAATCACTAATTATGCTCCATTTTATTTGGTTTTTTTGTGTTTTCTGAGCCTTTTCCACTANGGGAATTGGCACCCTGGAAATGGGAATTGGGACCCTGGAAATGGGAATTGGGATGCTGGAAATGGGAATTGGCACCCTGGAAATGGGAATTGGGATGCTGGAAATGGGAATTGGTACTCTGGGAGAGAAAATGGGAATTGGCACCATGGAAATGGGAATTGGGACCATGGAAATGGGAATTGGGATCCTGGAAATGGGAATTGGGATCCTGAAAGAGAAAATGGGAACTGGGACCCTGGAAATGGGAATTGGCACCATGGAAATGGGAACTGGCACCCTGGGAGAGAAAATGGGAATTGGCATCCTGGAAAAGGGCAATTGGCACCATGGAAATGGGAATTGGCACCATGGAAATGGGAAATGGGACACTGGAAATGGGAATTGGGACACTGGAAATGGGAATTGGGACCCTGGAAAATGGGAATTGGCACCATGGAAATGGGAATTGGGACCCTGGAAATGGGAATTGGCACCATGGAAAATGGGAATTGGGACCCTGGAAATGGGAATTGGCACCATGGAAATGGGAATTGGGACACTGGAAATGGGAATTGGCACCATGTGAATGGGAATTGGGACCATGGGAATGGGAATTGGTACCATGGAAATGGCAATTGGGACCCTGGGAGAGAAAATGGGAATTGGTACCATGGAAATGGGAATTGGGACCATGGAAATGGCAATTGGGACGCTGGAAATGGGAATTGGCACCATGGGAATGGGGATTGGGACCCTGGAAATGGGAATTGGCATTCTGGAAATGGGAATTGGGACACTGGAAATGGGAATTGGGACCATGGAAATGGGAATTGGCATCCTTGAAAAGGGCAATTGGGACCCTGGAGATGGGAATTGGGACCATGGAAATGGGAATTGGGACCCTGGAAATGGGAATTGGGATCCTGGAAATGGGAATTGGAAGCCTGGGAAATGGGAATTGGGACCCTGGAAATGGGAATTGGGACCCTGGAAATGGGAATTGGCACCATGGAAATGGGAATTGGGACCCTGGGAGAGAAAATGGGAATTGGGACCCTGGAAATGGGAATTGGGATCCTGGAAATGGGAATTGGGATCCTGGAAATGGGAATTGGGACATTGGGAATGGGAATTGGGACCATGGAAATGGGAACTGGGATGCTGGAAATGGCAATTGGGATCCTGGAAATGGGAATTGGGACCCTGGAAATGGGAATTGGCACCCTGGAAATGGGAATTGGCACCATGGAAATGGGAATTGGGACCCTGGGAAAGAAAATGGGAATTGGCATCCTTGAAAAGGGCAATTGGGACCCTGGAAGAGAACAATTGGCACTATGGAAAATGGGAATTGGGACCCTGGAAAATGGGAATTGGTACCCTGAAAGAGAAAATGGGAATTGGGACCATGGAAATGGGAATTGGGACCCTGGAAATGGGAATTGGGACGCTGGAAATGGGAATTGGCACCATGGAAATGGGAATTGGCACCATGGAAAATGGGAATGGGTACCATGGAAATGGGAATTGGCACCATGGAAAATGGGAATTGGGACCATGGAAATGGGAATTGGCACCCTGGAAATGGGAATTGGGATCCTGGGAGAGAAAATGGGAATTGGCACCATGGAAAAGGGCAATTGATATCCTGGAAAAGGGCAATTGGAATAATGGAAAATGGGAATTGGCACCCTGGAAAATGGGAATTGGCATCCTGGGAGAGAAAATGGGAATTGGCACCCTGGAAAATGGGAATTGGGACCCTGGAAATGGGAATTGGCACCCTGGAAATGGGAATTGGGACCCTGGAAATGGGAATTGGCACCATGGAAATGGGAATTGGCACCATGGGAGAGAAAATGGGAATTGGGACCATGGAAATGGGAATTGGGACACTGGAAATGGGAATTGGCACCATGGAAATGGGAACTGGGACACTGGAAAATGGGAATGGGTACCATGGGAAATGGGAATTGGGATCCTGGAAATGGGAATTGGAATCCTGGGAGAGAAAATGGGAACTGGCACCATGGAAAATGGGAATTGGCATCCTGGAAATGGGAATTGGCACCCTGGAAAATGGGAATTGGGACCATGGAAATGGGAATTGGCACCCTGGGAGAGAAAATAGGAATTGGCATCCTGCAAAAGGGCAATTGGCACCCTGGAAAAGAGGAATTGGTACCCTGAAAGAGAAAATGGGAATTGGGATTCTGAGAAAGGGCCATTGGCACCCTGGGAGAGAAAATGGGAATTGGGCATCATGGAAGAGAAAATGGCAATTGGGATCCTGGAAAATGGGAATTGGCACCCTGGAAATGGGAACTGGCATCCTGGGAGAGAAAATGGGAATTGGCACCCT